GCCTGACCTGAGCTTCAGACATCTTAAGTGACTTGCCCATGTTCATGCAGTAAGTGACAGAATCAGGATTCAAATCCAGGTTCGTCTGACTCTACTAACTATCCCAAACAGTGAACCTGAAGTAGAGCTTAAAGACCGCAGGTAGAAGAGTCAGGTGAACCTGGAGGTATTAATTACTAACTATCCCAAACAGTAAACCTCAAGTAGAGTTTAAAGACCACAGAGAGAAGTCAATACCTTGTTTGATATGTTATTAATACATTTCGCTGTTAGGTCCCAAGAACACAGTAATAAGGTATAGTAACTTGAAACATTAAATTACCCAGGTTATGAGATAGGATATAGAAGGGAAAATAGAATTTTTTCTTCAGTAACAAGTTCCTTCCAAACAGTGGTGAGAAACTATTTTAATCCCTTTTATTGCTTATAGTCTGTAACTAATAAATGCTGTGCTTAGTTTGGTACTTCTGTATCAGACGGTAAATAAGCTGTAATCATCATAGGGCCTCTACTTCCATTATAAATTGGAAAACTATTGAAGTTGGATCCAGGATCAATGTTCAGACTTTGATTACCACCAAACGAACAGAAGATACCAGAAGAGAGAGACCCTAGGATCAGGTCAAGCCCTGATCCCTCCACTAGCCAAGGATTTCAAGGCCACATCAATCTATAGGGATTAAAAGGTGGTGCCATTGGCTCCTCAGAAAGCTTTGTAATTTCACCAGGCAATGGCTGTCTCCAGTGACTGCAAATTAGAGTTTTATTGAAATCTTTGCATAAGAGAATGGGCTATACCTTTTCTCGCTCAGGCAAGACCTTTGATAGGTCATGTGCCCTTCTCAGGAAGCCAGCTCATTCCTTTGATACTTAAAGGCAGGGCCAGTGAGCTAACAGTTACTGAATTAACTGCAGGTCAGGCCAGTAGGCTCACCGGACTGGAGAAAGCAGGGCAAGGCCAGGGAACCACATGGTTCTGACACTGCTGCATGGTTGCAATTTTCAGGAAGTTGGCTCTTTGCACCATTTTCCTCAAATTTTTTCCAAGATGAATGGGGTTTTTTTAAGAGACTAACCTTCACCTTGCAAGAGAATTATCTTCTGTGCAATTTCTTGGAAGCCAGCATGATTCTTTTCATTGCTCTTTAATGATCATTTGGATATTTTTACATCCACAGCAACTTTTACCACACCTGCTAAACCTGTTTTCGGTGTTTAATTTATTCTTTATCCTGATGAACCAAACCAAGACCAGAGAACCATCAGTAGTAGAGATTACCTGTCATAAAACACGGAGAAAACCAGGTGCAGGAGAAATGTGATTAAGGAGCATAAGCCCTCTTTTTTTTTTTTTTTGAGATGGAGTCTTGCTCTGTCGCCCAGGCTGGAATGCAGTGGCGCGATCTCGGCTCACTGCAAGCTCTGCCTCCCGGCTTCACACCATTCTCCTGCCTCAGCCTCCTGAGTAGCTGGGAATACAGGCACCCACCACCATGCCCAGCTAATTTTTTCTATTTTTTAGTAGAGATGGGTTTTTACTGTGTTAGCCAGAATGGTCTCAATCTCGTGACCTCGTGATCCACCTGCCTCGGCTTCCCGAAATGCTGGGATTACAGTTGTGAGCCACTGCGCCCAGCCTGCATAAGCCCTCTTTTCTGGTTCTGCTTAAGTTATTCACATACTGAACGTAAATAGGAAATGTTTCCTGGCCAATAATAGTAATAGGGTAATAGAACAGGCATGTTGACTGTGGACAAGTCACAGTCATAATAGGAGAAAGTCATGCTTTTGGCCGATATGTTTAGCAGATGATAGAAGATGTAAAAGAGGCCAGGTGTAGTGGTTCATGCCTATAATCCCAGCACTTTGGGAGGCTGGGGCAGGCAGATCACATAAGGTCGGGAGTTCAAGACCAGCCTGGCCAACATGGCGAAACCCCA